TTTTTTCTTTTCCTAAACTTAGAATTACCATTTATAGAGGCATATAAACTCTCTCACGCACAATTGCACAAACAAACACGAGAAATATTCCTCTCTGAAAGAGATTTAGTGGTAAAAGTAATTCGGTTTATCCAACCGAGTTACTTTTACCACTCAGTTTAACTTTTACTAATCACCCATTCAGCAGCATTGACACTCGTTTTTTATCTTTAAGGTGATTCCTTATTATTGCGCTGCGCATCCTGTATTGCGCATAAAAACACGTAATCATGCGAATAAACGTGCATTTCGAGAACACGATATTGTTTTTCAGTAACTGGACCCGGTAAAGCGATGCGATTCTTCTAAGCTTTTGAATGAGCACGGTGACCTACATTTTTATTGTATAATTTTGTTGTACTTATTATCCCCTTTAAATGGGAGAAAATTTTTTAAAAAATTATGAAAAGGAAAAAACGATATCACTAAACACGTTATTCGATGATGCAAATCATGACCTTGATGGTCACAGACTCGTAACTGCTTACAGTTCTTTTATTGTATTCCACAAGTCGGATTATCTTTATAGCCTTTTCCATCCGGCTCATTCCCTTCGGCAGTTTCCTCTTCTTTTCTCGAGGTCATGATTTTTCTTTAATTTGACTACACTTAATTCAAACATTCCACTTAGCGTTCCGTAAAAAATTTTCTGAAATCTGAAAAGCACCAGAGCTATTCAGAAAAACGTATTTTCGTGTAAAAGTTGATAAATCAGAAAGGTGTCATAATCTCGGACTTGGGCGAATCCCCTGCAGACGATCATATTGGGGCTCATGTTACTTCCATATTTTGTTTACATCGCGCTACAAAATTCACTCGTGGAAGCTCTATGTTTATGGCAAAATTTTTGAACATGGAGAAGTGAAAGGCGGAAGAAAGTCCTTCGCAAAAAAAAAGAAGGAAAAAAAAAACAAGCCCAAAGAAAAAAGAAAGGTTACCATTCTGTCAAGAAAAGAAAAATATCCCTTTGTGGAAGCGACTGGAGCTCTAAGCTGGCGTCCAGATTTCGAACAAAGAAGTCACTGTCAAACCAAAATTTTCCATACATGATGCTAAAGACGAGGTTCCCTTTTTTTTTCATGCAGGTACTAGCCTCGATACAAAAACGTTAACAATCACCACGAATCGTAATTTTGAAAGCTGTATGTCGATTCGTTGTCTTGTTTCTTAGCACATTTTCCGGTTTTTCCATTCTTGCCGCGGGTTTCTCCTTTGCCTTTGACAACTTCGCTCATTACTGTGTCGTCCCCTAAAACGCTCCACTGGGCGATTGAGATTAAAAAGGAAAACCTTCCTGTAATGCGTTACTTTTCCCGGGAAATCTTGATCCATTGTCATTTCCGCCAGGAGGTCCTGTTGTCCCATTGGTTTGCGGTTTCAGGAGGTGAGATAATCTCCTGGCGTGGCGTGGGTTGTTTGCGAACATACCGCATTTGATTTTGGAAGGAATGCAACCGCTTTGAGCGAACTTATAGGCTGTATAGATTTGACCGATTTTCGTCAAATTTTGCCAAAACATACAAGGAATAATGACAAACGGAAGTATGTCGGGAAATTATGATATTTGAAATATTTGTCCCGTGGCGTTTATTTACGCAACACGCCCCGCATATTTTTTAGCTACTCCAACTTTAGATGTCGATATCTAGACAACAAATAAGAATATCGAAAAAGCTTGCTACACATTTGTTGATTGATGCCTCGTGAATAAGACTGTGCAGCCATTTTGCTCGTGCTGCGGCTTCCGATCCCCACCGATGAATTCAGTACAAGAACCTTCCGTCGTTTCACGCCTTACCGGCTCCTGACACTTCCTCTGTGTCAAATTAAAATCTACGATAGAATTATATTTTTATCGTAAACTGCAGTTATCAAGCTTTCTTTCTTTCTGATATACAGTTGGTTAGGATTATAGTGAAACTAGTGCGCGTACGAATTTTTTTCCCAAAGGACACCCGCGAAGTTGGGAAGTAACCTTAAATACATTAGACTAGATAGGGTGACATGGTCCGTTGGATAGTTTGCCAAACGACAAAAATCACACAACTGGAGGTTACAGAAAGTTTTAGCCGAAAATTTACTTGTCACTTTAACGAGAAGGACGACGTTCAAACGGTGAACTAAACCTCGATCTTGTTGCATAAGCAACCGAAAATAAGCGGTCACGTAATGTAACACAACACGACATCTCACGACGTGAAAAGCTTAGATGATGAATGTTTCGAGAATGCTAGAATGAACAGTAAAGGACAAACATACGACGCATTCTTATGTATATAGAAGCTGCTCGAGTTTAGTTGGAGCAAAAATTCTACTTTTTGAACGAAGTACATGAACACATGTTTTAAACCGTGGTGGTCATGATGGCCTGCAAAAGTAATTGCATGCTATATTTACTCAGGAAACCAAAGATATGAGTTGGCAACCACAGTAGAGGTGAAAAGCCACGCTCTCCGGATATAAATATGTTATTATTATCACAGATTCGATCACTTTCGCTGTTGCTAGTTTTTGTGCATTGTGTCCAAAGGAAGGAATATGCGAAATCAATAACTTGTAGGTGAGAAGGAAGCATAAGTTTCCTTAATGTAATTAATGTCGAAACTTTCCAGAGCCGGAATGCCGGAAAAAAAATTGAATGAAAAAATGGCTGGTTGGAAACGCCTAAAAAAATAACGTATGTGCTCGTGTAACACTTATAATGCAAGATTAAAACGGCCTCATCCGATATGTTTGAAGTGAAGGAGAGCACAGACAGCCAGGGGAAAAACAACAGCAACAACCATTGGTAAACGGCTACATTAAATATCATAAAGGCAGGAGGTCAAGATGTTTTCGCTGAATTTGTGTAAGCTGAGAATATCACCCAATGGAAACTTAGAACTGTTTTCGCTGTTTCTTTCAATGCAATTCAGGTAACCTTTGTTTTCATTAACCTCTGATAGTCCAATAGTCATCAGTTGCCGACTGTTCTAATTGGGAGTTAATCCAATTCACGAGTTCTTGAGTCACCTGGTCAAGTAACAACTCAATCAAATAGGACGACTTTATTAAAAGATGACAAATACAATAGGAAAGTTTCCAAAAATGATATTTGAGCCTTTTAATGAAACCATTGTGATTGTCATACTGCCTCAAGGAAGCGCACGAAAATAGTTTGCAAAGATTTCTTCATCACGCATAGGTTTCCTCTTCACTTCGCGAAGGCCTATCATCCTCGCCGTTGTTTTGTTTTGTTTTATTTCTTCGTCTTTGTTGTCTACTTTTAGTAACAGCTGTGTGCATTGAGTAACCATGCATCTGTGTGAAAAGATTAATAGGGAACCAGCTAATCGGAAATAAATCGATTACCATAAATTAGGTGTACCCATAACTTGATATTTGCTGACATCGACCAAGCCATTCTCTAATTTCTAATTTCATAATGAACCTTGCCGAAGATCCTGTGATCTTTGTTCACAAACTTGTTGTGGGGTTGAATATTTGCTTCTTGACACATTTTCTGAGGTTTACATTTTTATTGGTGAATACAAGACCAATCAATTTATTGTCAATAAATGAAAGGATGAAGGTTTCATAGATTGACAATTAACAAGCGGTGCAGGATCAACTCTCTTTAGATTTAGAAAGTGGTAAAGTGTTCATCAGAGCAGCGCCCATATAACGAATCATGTCACTAACAGTTTAGGGATGACACTTCCCGAGTGACTGTGATGTTTTTTAAAAAGATTCTTTCGTT